GTTCTCATTGATAAGTTGGATGGAAACTGTGCTTTATTCACAACTGTTTTATGCGATATTCCAGTTTTGCATTTAAGTTAAATTCACAACTTTGGATGGAAACATAGCTAGAGTTTCATGTGTTCGATCCTACTTTCTTTTTCAGATACGGTGTTGTCTATGGGGATGGTGCAGCAGCTGGTGTCAGTTCTTCGCTCCCCTCATTCCTCTGTACATGAACATGTGCTAGGTGCCCTCTGCTGGTTAGTAGCATTGTTGCACGATGAAAACAAAACTGCAGTATGCTGATGGAACTACATTTTGGAGTTTGAGACTTGGTTTCTGACTTTTTTCAACATATATTTGTAGTCTGGTTGAGGATGCTCCCCGCGGTGTGAGCGATTGCAGAGATCCATCGCTTGGCTTGGAGGAACTGCTCAACCAGCGAGTGCAGGACCTAAGGGGGAGAGAGGAGAGCCTGGTAAACTATTGTTTTATCTGTTTCTCGTTCCTGTACTTTGTTCTTCACTCTCACATTCACGTTCAAATCTAATATGTTAAAATCAACATTAAATCAAAATGGACCCCATTTACTTTTTCCTGGTCTTATTTTTTTGTGATTTGTAGGTGCATGTTCTTCTAAAGACAATCCATCATCAAAACTAACTTGTTTTGCCTCTGAAGTGACTTTCTAAGCTTATGTCACCTAGGCCACACATGTAGATATGAGCAACATGGGTGGGAAAAATAATATAGATGCATTATGCAATGCTTTTGTCTGCTCTTGTAGCCAATGCAGCCTTTCTAAAATCTTACACAGTAATTAAATGTTAATTAACATTAACAGCATACAATTCTACCTCATTAATAGCAAATGACAATAGATTTGCCACTGTTCATGAGCCAGTCAGAGTTTGGTATCGTAAACTAAAACTATTTTAAAAAATGTATTGTTCATTTAAATAAAATAAGTATTGGGTGAAAAACTTGAAAGAAAATTAGAAATGTGTTGCCTTGGCTACTAACTGAAAGAAAATTTACTACTAATAAAATAAAACTATTAAAAATTCCGAAAGTATAATTTAATTGAAAATTAAAAATAGAAAAAATGTAATTCAAAATTTTTATGAAAAACTAAGTTATGTAAATAATACTGAGCCAGTCAGTTCCCAATGAATTTAAGCATTTTCTTCCATTGTTTTATGAACCAGAATATTCTGGTTCACATGTCACATTTTGCCAGTATAATGGGTTGCGAATGATGTTTCATTGTGATTAAATGTTTGACAAATTTTCTTTCCTGCAGGAGGAGCTGGAATTTTGTGAACGTTTACGAGTGGTTTGTTTCCAAGGGCAACCCCAGGACGATAATGGAATGGATCGCTGAGGTCTTATTGGCGATTCCTGCTATGCAGTGATCAGTCAACACAAAAGAAGCGACCTGAGTTTGAATTCCCTCTCTGTTCAAGAGAGAAATAAAAACTAGAAATATACTTTTAAAAAGAGAAAAAGTGACGTTTAACTCTGAATATTCAGAGTTCAGTTTGGCTATGTGTGCTCTTGCATACTCGTATACCATGAACTGTACAAAAACACTGTTGTGCTATATTATGAATTTGTACATTTTGTATAATATGTCAGTTTGTTATTGTAAATGATGTGCTGTTTAGGGTCAACTTGTTTATTTTTCCTCTTTACACCTGAACAACCATACAAATGCAAAGCCATAATGTAGAACTTAACGTCAATATAAAATATTTTGTAAATTTTAAAGTAAATGTGAAAGTGTATTGATACAAGCCTCTGTTCAAGTTTAATTCTGATCTGAACAACAAAAACAAAACATTGGCAGTGAGTTCCAAGATTCAGAAGCATAAAAACACTTGCACAAATATCTTCTGTTTCACTATTACATAATCAGTAAAAACTGATTCTGTGCTTTGAATGTAATATTTGAAGTGAAACAGCCACAATTAATTTTTGGACTTCGTATTTTAGTATTGTCCCGGGCTGTGTTTACCAAAAGCATCGTAAGCTTAAGTTCATCGTAGCTCCATAGGCTTACGATGCTTTTGGGAAACGCAGCCCTGATTGATCTGTATGTTTTGAAGAATCAATTGCAATATGTTTAACATGTAGCTGATTATAATAATGTAATGTATAAAATATACATAGAATAGAATGGAATAGATAGAATATACATAGTTTTGATCCCATGATAACTGTTTCAGAAGAGATTAAAATGATCAAAAAACAATTATGGTTTATTCAGGATAATTTGGACATTTTTTCCAGTCATTTCAATGCCAAACCTTTCCCAATTGACCTGAATTCACTTCTATCAAATAAGATTTAAACTTTTCCAAACATGAAAATCCTAACTATTTTTCTATTTGGTGACCTGGTTAGGTTGTTTACCTTGTGATAAAACATATCACAAAGTAAATTACATTTCAAAGGCTGCTTCGATATAGAGTAAGGCCAAAATAGAAGCTTCATCTATCAACACAGTTTCCACTTATTCACAAGAAGAACTTATATTATTATTATTATTTGCTAGAATTATTAAACATATCTGAAAGCAATAAGAAAACTTCTCTAAGATTACATAAAAAAAGCTTTAAAACAGGTGTTATAGAATTTCTCAATATTTAAGTCTCTGAAGTAAATGGTCCCCCATTAAAATCTTTTTATAATACAATAAACTTTTTGATAATGTCCATTAAGAAGTTAACATTTTTGACATATATCTTTTCTGGCTTTGTTTTGAAAATAAGTACTTGGGTTTTGGTTTGTTCAGCTGTAAACAGACTGAAAGCATCTGTCACTTTCTCAAAGCTATATCATGTGCTTACATAAGTGTTAGCATGTATTTATAAGGCGTATGAGGTGCAGGGTAGATGCATAACCGGACCGAGTGAACAGAGACTCTTCAGTGCTCTCAACTTCTGTCCTCATGGATTGGCATTTGCATCTGCTTCTTTCTTTGCTTGTGGTGTTTGCTGTTGAAGGTAAGCCATATGTTCAATGTTTTAATCACTATGCTGAATAATAACTGGTTTATTTATGTGTACAAGCACTAGATATATTACCTACATTTTGTTTACTCAAAAGTTACATTTATGTAATTTTTTCACCTTGTAATTTTAAACACAGATGACATTTTTCCATCATGAACTAAACTTTGAAGAATGACTAGAATGCCCTTTTTTCATAATCGGGTCAAAACATGATTTAAAAAGCAACATAAAAGTATAGTAAAAGTTTTTAATGTGTCAAGCTGTACAATAGCTTTGTTTGAGTAACAGACCAAAATGTATTCATTATTCACTTAAAATATTGGGAAAGGAAAGGAAGGACTTGACGTGTGGCCAGGTATGGTAACCCATACTCTGAATTTGTGCTCTGCATTTACCCATCCAAGTGCACACACACAGCAGTAAACACACACCCGGAGCATTGCTGTACGTCATCCCAGGTTTGATATCAATGACAAAACATAAGAACCTATAACAATTTACATTCATTGACATCAAATCAAAAAACGTTTATTTTTGTGTATGTATAATATATTAATTTCCATAATGTCAGTATCACGATACAGTTTTAACTTGTGTCAAAGTGTTAATTTTATTGCTTGGTTTCGGTAAATGCGTGTGGTATTTTTTGGATTGGGGAGGATGTTTTGGGGTCTGAAAGTCACAGTACAACAATGAGCTCTTGATAGTTGATTCCTCATGATATTACTGCTTTAAGAGCTGTGGTTAAGGAAGAATGGTTACTATTAAAATTGTCTTGTTTTCTGTGTTTTTCCCTCTCATTTTCCATCAGCCACCACCACAAAGCACATGAAGGACTTCATCAGAGCTGTGGAGAGCATTGAAGCTGTGAATCCAGGTCTTCAGATGCTCGATGTGGTGAAAGGTCTACGTAAGGCTGCTGGCTTTGAAACCGAGCTCATCAAGCAATACCTCGGTGACCTCAGTGATGCACATGACCTTGTGGCAGATCCATCAGTCACTTCATATGTAAGCGAGGTCATTAATCACAGCCTGTCAGAGTCTGGTAAGGAGAAAGGTGTGGTTCTCACGTTAGATGGTTCAAATGTGGCGCTGACCCCAATGCTCCTCGGACTTGAGGCTGGGCTGCAGTCCACCGTCCAAGGCCTTTACCCGTTAACCTTGACCCACAACCTGGTCGCCTCATTTCTACATCACGTCCACAATGAGCAAACCACTGTTCCTTTTGGCACTAAAGGGTTCTGGGATAGCATTTCATCCCCAAAGGTCTACGCGCTCTCTGATTTGCCCTCCTTGGCCACAGACGCTCTAATAATCGGAGGTATAGACGGGTTCATTCTCGGGTCAGAAGTTTCCACGTCTAACCATCGTGAGCGATCACTGAGTGACCTGCTGAAGAGTTACTACAGCCACCAGCCTGACGCATCGCCCCGTCTGATCAGTCAGAAACGAAGGATGAACTTCAAAAAGCTCGTCAGCTTCTCTTTGCTGAAAAGCCAGATGGTCCAGGCTCTAACAGTTCGCCACAACTTAAACGAGTCTGAGAGGAAGAGCCTGGATGACGTTATGAATGAAGGGTTTGACCAGTTTGTCCATGTGTATGCTGGTAATTAAACATATTTATGTTAACCATTTTATACTGATAATTTGTTTTTAAATATAGTATTTTTTATATGAATAGATTTCCTTAGTATAACTTTTTCATTATTTTTTTATGAAATTCTAAGCTGACTCTGTTATATAATTTTAAACTACCAAGTAAATCAGTTTACTAAGGACCAATGTTAACATACAGACTGATTTATTTACATACTGTAGGTAAATGTTTTAATTATATATTGAAATAAATACATTTTCTGACTTAATATAACTATTTTTTTATTTTACAATTTGTTTTGTTTTTAATTGTATATTTTAAGCTAGGGCTGTCCAAACTCGGTCCTGGAGGGCCGGTGTTGCAGGACACCGGCCCTCCAGGACCGAGTTTGGACAGCCCTGTTTTAAGCGGACTTAAAGGTGCTGTATGTATTTTTTTGCCGGTACTAAAGCATAAACATACCATAATATGTTTGCAGATTTTTAAGAATCATGCTAAGTTCACATACTTGTTTCTCTGATGAAAAAAAAAAATGGAGCAGCCATTCTACTTTGAAATGCACATTCTGTGTTGGAATGTTTTTGTTTTGGTTTGTGGGATTCTGCCAGCTGGCAATTTACACAGTAGTATTTCGACACCCTGGGTTGCCAGCTGTTGGAAAACACAGCATATTGTAGCTATGAAAGACAGCAAATACATTTGATCAGAGATTGCAGATTCTACCCCTCCTAAAAGCCTCTGCATCAATCTGCTCTATGACCAGAGGCCGAGGAGACATGGAGCCAGGGTGACACCGCAGGCCTGGAGGGCCACGGTGGAGCTGGTGGCTCAAACAACCGAGGCGGGGACCCAGAAGACCACAGTGGAATCCCGTGGCAGAGGCAGGCCGACGACTGACCAAGGCAGAGCCAGAGGGATGAGGGAACCTCATGCCATGGTGGAGACAAGGGCACGTGAAGCCAAGGTGGAGCCGAAGGGTGGAAGGCCAAGGTGGAGTCAGGGGCTCATTGGATGAAGGCAGAGAAAGGGGATCCTCATGCCAAGGCAGAGCTGGAGATTGGAAGGCCCAAAGCGAATCAGAGCACCCAGATGGAGCTGACTGAGGATTAGCTGAGGGACTGACAGGAACCAGCAGAGGCAAGACCAAGGAATAGACAGAATCTGGAGGAGGTGGTGGGAGTGGGAGACTGGTCTGGAACACAGGAGATTCTGAGCTGGGCTCAGGAGATGCAGGAGACTTAGGCGACTTCAGGGCTGGGGGGAGCCAATGGAAATGGGAAAAACAGGGGATCAAACACTTCCAGAATATCAGTTACTGTTGCAGAGGTCAGCTGCAGAGCACCCTCAGTGGGTGGAGTGTGGGCAGGGCTTCCCTCCATGCCCTCGTACTCAACAAGTACTCCGTTGGGGATGTTACTGGCTCATGCACCTGGTCAGGTCAGGCTCCGGGGTGATGGTCGGCTCAGTTATTCGTTCTGGCACTATCATCGTTGCAGACTCTCGGTGCGTTCCAAACAGGATATATCACACTTTGGAGTGAAAACAAACATGGCCACCATATTGAAGGGTCGTTCCAAACCAAAGTGCATAAAACTGGCCACTTGAAATGGCCCTTCGGAAAGAAGGATTTTGAAGGGTACAACTGATGAACACTTCAGGCCCCCATGATCCTTTGCACAGGGAAGTTGTTTGGTGTCACACCCTACGTTCCATTCAGAAGGGCTCATACCTATGCCCTAATCCCTTCAAAGGGTTTACTGTCCGGAGTGAGAGCTTCAAAGGGATTAGGGGATGAGCCCTTCCAAATGGAACACAGGGTCTGTCTCTGTGACTGCAGTGGGCTCAGGCATTAACTCCATGCAGCATGGGTAAGGTGACTGGCTGGGCTCTGGATTTGGAGTGGGGCTGTTGAAACCCTCCTCCGCAATGCCAATGGTGAATTGTTTTCACCAGCACACGAAAGCAAAAAAATTCCCTTCAGGACCGATCATGGGCAGCCTTGTCCTGGACTGCTCACTGAGGCTAGTGTTGTCAAATACGCAGAGCAAGCGGTCAGGTAATGTTGTGAGGTTAGCCAGTTCTATAAAGTCCCTTGTGTGGACCTCGAGGGAGTGATCTCCTTGCTCTAGGCAGAGCAGCTGAACAGCTGGCACGTCTGTGGGGGGAGGTAACTAAACAACAACAACAAAAAGAAAACGCTGCAAAATTCAAACTGTATGGGTCCTGTCTTCTGTCATGGGAAGCTGTAATATAAGTAAAGCACGAAGACAAATAATCCAAGAGAATCTTTAATGCAAAACTCACTCAGGAAAACACCTTAACATAGACGTAGACAGGACAATAGAACTCATCAACACAAGGAGTATATATATATATATATATATATATATATACAGTGGGTACGGAAAGTATTCAGACCCC